GGGGCCCCCCCCCCCCCCCCCCCAAATAATCAGGCAAGACAAGAAAATACACTCTAATTTAAGAATTAGGAGATTTAATAATTTGTTTTCAATAAGGGAAGAAAATGATTTTGAAGATAATCTTATAGCTTCACACAGCCTCTTTCCTTCAGATGCTGGATTCTTCAATATGGGAAAAATTTTCAGTAGTCTCATTTACATCCTGTGATCTGTAGCACTGCAATCATCCCAGTGGTATGAATGGTGGGGTTTTTTTTCACACAATGTGGATTTTTAAATATATAATGGATTTTCAAAAGAGTATATGAAACTAAAGCATAAGATCAATTTCCAAAGTATTCTTAGGTTTTGACCTTTAAGTAACTTACACAACAAAAAGACAAAAAATTAATTTTGTTGGAAGCAATGTAAGAAGGCATATTTAAAATCCTGTTAGATGCTTACAGATGCTTATCTGTTGCTTGAGGTACCCACGTGTATTTCAAAATTTGGCTGCAACACATATAACCTTAGAGAGTTTAATGTACTTGGCACCCAGGGATTTTGGAAATGGGATCTAGACTGTTGAAAATATTAGCAAGTAGTAGTATCATAATCTGTCCCACACATGTGAAATGTTAAAATTGTCCTAACCCTTTTGTTTCCTCATATTCTAGTCAAATGATACTTACTGGGAGAGCTGAAATAAGACATCCTGGCTTCCCCACAGAAACAGACTTTATACATTCATAAGGTAACTCAGGAATTTTAAAGCTAGCTCTACCTTCACGAAAAAACAGTGCATGGACATCAGTCCCTCAATCCAGAACTAAGCTTGCTGGAAGGATTAGCATCCTTTTCAACTTTGTACTGTTACATTAAGTAGATGAACAAGAAAAGATTTTTATGAAATACTGTTTTCTACAACACAATACAGCAGGAAACTATATTAACTGTTAAGACTTGCCTTGCAACTGCTGCAACTAGCCAGCACATAGCAAGGAGTAATACAAAAGTCAGCAATATAGTGATATATAATTATAGTTCATAAAGGGCCTATTATTTAATGAGATTTCTCAAAATGGAAGGTGGAAGAGACACTGCATTTTCTCCCATATGACACTCAAAAGGGTCACTGGAGACATCTAGAACATGGATTACAGTATAACACATCTCCTGTGCTAGTAGAGTGCCACAACCTAGCTTAGGGTGAAGTTCACCTAGCAATAACTACACTTAATGTGGGCATATTGTATCTAAATGTGAGCTGCTCCATAGAGGCTCCATTTTCTGCACCCCACCCCCGCCAGCTGTGTGCTCCCACCACCTTCCTCCATCACACGAGGCAGACAGTGCATCAGGTCAGCTCTTTTACTCAACCCCAAATGAACCCTGAATGAAAACAACTAAATACGATGAGTGGTTTGTGGTGAGTTCAGCAGCTGAGCAGAAGACCCACCTAGTCCCATAGCTGCACCATCTGATACATGGGGAGCAGATGGCAGGTAGGTCACACAAAGCACATCCTAAAAATGGGCCCTCAGCCCAGACGTTTGCAAAGAAACAAGTATGTTAACAGCAGGCTCAGTTTCAATTTGCTGCTGTGGCTTGCCCAGCACCAAGGGAAGTTGGTGAGTGCTATTGAAGAGCTTGCAGTATCAACTTTGTGTTGGTATAGCCTGTCCCTGCAGCATGTGAAGGGGTCCCCCAGGGACCTGCGCCTCGTAGCAGGCAAGGAGCAAGGGCTGGGGTGCTGCTCCAGCCCTTTGAGCTCCTACAGGGCAGGAGTGCAGCAGGCTGGATCCCTTCTGATGGCAGCCTAATGACCATCTGCAGGGCAGGGCTCAGCACGCTTGTAGCTTGGACATGAAAAATACACCTTTTCAGCCTTACGGTAATCTTGATAAGGCTGAGCACCTGAGGCCCAGGCTTGCTGCATTTGCCAACTGGGCTCTTCTGCTTGCCTGTCTCCCACACTCATTCTATCTTTGATCCTCTGAAGGAGAAAAAGTATCTAGAAGAGCTTGTGGAAAACTTCACACACAGCAGCACTCGAAAAAGAGATAAGAAGAAGGTGCTGGTGGATACTGTAATGGCATAATCTACTTCAGTGGGAGATTCTCATCTGGCTGATGTATTCCATTTCTGACACACTACTGAAAGGATGGTGCAGAAACAGAGCTTTAAAAAAAAAAAACAAAAAAGGACAAGATTTGCCAGGGAATTTGGTACCAACACACATTCTAGGTAGATTTTATGAAGTGTGAAATGATGGCCTAGAGCTGGTCCTAGGGAAACCAGTGGTAAAATTCTATATACATTAATAGAAGCAGAGTAAATCCAGTATTGACTACTTTTGAAGAGTCTGACTCTCTAACAGTAAGAATATTTATTTTCTAAATGTCATGCTATATATAAATTTAGGACACCAACAATTCAGAAGAGTCACTCCTGCTCAAACTTCAATTAGAAGAGAAGCATTCTGAATAGATTTAATGGAGCCCTACTGAAGCTACTGCTCTAAAATAGTATTAATACAATAGCTGACTAAGTCTGAATGAAACATGTACTTGTATATAAATGCAATAGCAGCAGCTCTCTGGAAGAAAACACACCAACCCTGATTGTCACTGTTTCAGCACAGAAAGAGGTGGACAAGTGACTGTAGTCAGGGTGAAGTCATTCTCACCATATAGCATCAGGCAACTGGCTGAGTGCAAAGCTGCCTGAGGTTCAGTGAAGTCAGCCTGGTGACATGTGGAGCAGATGCTGAAAGTCTGACAGCTGGAAATGTTGGAAGCACTTGTCATCAGGAGGTGGCAGGAAGCTTATGTCAGCTGGAAAAGAGCCTGGATGCTTGTTGCTAGGGCAGCAGAGAGGGTTTTGACAGCTAAAAGTGTTGGTGAGCAATGACTAGAGATAAGAGTGAAGATCCCTGGGAAGGCAGAGGAGGGCTGGTTCTTCAAGTTTATCTTTAGAGATAGGGATACAACAGGTCACAGCAAACCCCCAGTTTGGGGCAGAGTCCTCATAGCCATCTGCCACTAGCTTAAACCCAGAAGGGAACTGTTAGTTTGACCTTTCATGCTCATTCTCGGTGTTACAGTATAAATGCTATAGCTAGCAAGGAGGTTGCAGATGGGGAAGAAAGCAAGGGGTGGGGATAAGAAAATACTCATCTTTGGGAAGAGTTAGATTCGCTAGACTTGACCTCGAGAACCTGAATGACCAAAGTTTGCATACACAGGTCTGTGCTTGGCAAAGAGCCTTCTTTTTGTATTTTACTTTCCTCTGGAGGCATTCAGAGTAAAGCAACAAAGATGTAGCAGATGTGTCTTTGAGTAAACCTTATTTGCTCCTGGAAAAAATAGAGGGGAGAAAAAACCCAAAGGTTCTTAACTGAGACTGCTAAAATATAAGTATGTTAAAGAACAGGAAGAAAACCCGAGGACTATGAAAAACACATAGTCTTCAGAAAGACTGAAAAATAAGACCTTGTTAGTAGCTGGGTTTACTCCAAACCCAGTAAAAATACTAGAAAACAACAAAAAATAGAATGTCTTCTGCAAGTTTTTTTTTTTTTAACAAGTTTCCCCAAATGGACAATATAGCTCAGAGATTTTTCCAGAGCAAGAGCCTCTTCACAAAGTGTTATAAAAGTTACAGTATTGATAGCAATTTCAGATAAATGGAAAACCCAGGATCTTTGTCAATTTTCACACTATGAGAAGTTCCTTTAACCAAGTACAGCTGGCTGAACTTTTTTTCATTAAATGGTTTATTGGTTTTGATGACGCAAATAAATTGGGGAAATTCACCTAGTGCTGTTTCTTTTTCATTTCCAAGGCTGGGAGTGGACATTACTGAAATTAAATATTCCAGTTTGGGTAGCAAACTTGCACAGTCACTGGCATTATCTATATTCACTCATGCATACTCAAATAGATACATGAGACAATATGGCAAACACTTGTCTAGGCTGTGGGAGATCCAGGTTTAAAGCTGTCCTCTCCTTCCCTCTGTGCTCTGTGCCCCAGTTCAGATCAAGATCTCAACCAGTAACCAGAGATTTTGTTAGCTACACACTTGAATGGGGAGTATGCTGGGTGTTTCACTCTCAACTTTTGCTACTGAAGCTTTTCCAAATTGTAGAAATTTACAGAATAAATCAGATAGAGAAAGAATAAGCTTATGGCCTGATGACTAGGTTACTCACTTTGCACAGCAGCCGGAGAACATGAAGAAGA